GCGTGAGGGCGCCCGTTCCGCAGCGAAGGGCGGACACCAAGCGTGGGCTGCGCCTCGGCGGGGACCCTCGCCTCGCACTGCTAACAGCTCCCCGAACCGTTCATCATCAAAAAAAACCCTTTTTAAAACAGCAACACCTTCCTAGAAGGAGGATGAGTGTGGCCCTATAACAAGTCACCTAAGATTCAGAACCAAATTTGGGGTTTTTTCCTTCAGCAAAAGCCAAAGCCAAGCTTCTCCTCCTTGCAATTTCCAACATAATTCTATCTTAGTAAAATCCACCAGCTGCACGCCTCAGCATCAGAACATTAATTCCTGCATATTCCTGGAAGGTGATAACATCTGGGAGTTCTCAGTGGAAGATGAGGAACACATTAGCTGAGAGCAAAAGCTGACCATGAAGAGAAGGGGACCTGGAACAAAATTCTCCACCTGATCTCTCTCTAGGTAAAATAGATTTAAATTAACCATGCTGAGGAAAAAGCATTCACTAAAGATTCAGTGCTCATTTTTAATACCATCTTCATGTTCAGGGAACAAAGGAAGACCACAGCAAGAATTCCTGATACCAGCAAACACTTTTCAAGGCTTCTCTGCACATCATCATAAAGCAAAACCAGGCAAACATTCAATTGCAAAAAAACCAAAACCCCTCTCTAGGACCCTTTAACAGCAAACCTCTATTTTTCTTGCAGCTAAGCTACTATTATCTCAATTAACACCCCTAACCTCCTCTTAAACCATAAACACAACCGACCCAACTAACGTGGGGGCATTTTTAAGGTGTATTTATGCCCATTTGGATGACAGGACTGGTTTTAATAGCTCCTCCTCACCAAACACAAGCCTTTGCTTACATCATTTCGCTTGTTTTCATACATCCCTTAGTTCAGACCTTTTTTATTGGTTGAAAAGATTCTCCATGCCCATTCTGCCCTTTGGACCAGTCAGTCTGTCCTTCACCAGGCTCAGGTTTTGAGTATTTACATGGAAATATGGCAGTTTGCAGCAGCATTATCAGCAGACCCAAACCAGTTGCTGAGCTTCAAAACATGCATGGTTCACTGTAACACAGAGGCCTGTCTTCACAGACCAGAGGCAAGATTCCTATCTACCATCTCCTCTCAGGACAAGGACAGGTCATAACAGATCCAAAGCAGTAACACAAGACAAAGGTTTACTGGCAAAAGGACACTGGTTAAATAAATTTTATCAGGATCTTTAGAGATGGGCACGGTATGGGTAGGATTCTATTTGATAGCTTTGAAAGGGATGGTAATGAAAGCACACGTTAGAATGCATTTTTACAGTGATCAGACATTGCAGTCATTTACTCTCAACAGTACTTTTATGAGACATATTTATATATTCAATAATTAAATATAAAAATCAAGGATGAGTGTCACAGAACAAGGAAATAAGGCTTGAGGCCCAGTGTGTCCCCAGATTACCCTTCTAGTCACTGTACCTTTCAGTTTACCTTTAATTTTATGGGCTGCTGTTCTTCCACATAATAAAGCAATAGGGGAAGTTAACTGCAGATCCCTTGCTTTTGTGAAGCCTCAAACCTACTTCAACTTAGTACAAAAACAGGGTGGGGGGAAAAAAAAGAACATTTGTTAAAAGGCAGAACAGGAAGAGATATTCGTAGACATTTTGGACCAACAGAATCTAGGAAATAGGGACACTGGAAACAGATTTTCAGACTAGAGCAGACAATGTTTTTGCTACCTGTTCTGTTTACCCGAATGTGACGTGCTAGCATTAGTCCTTATTTAGGATTATTGGCAATCAAAACAAATGCCATGGGCAACAAGAAAAACTCGCAGCTGCACACTGATCAAACCTTTGTCCTACCTAGAGAGGGTATGCAGGTAAAGAAGCTGAATGTAACAAGTCAGCCATGTCCACATCCACATGTACTATACGGTAAGAACATTCAAAAATATTGACATGAGACAGTGATACTATAGTTTTCCTTTTTCTCTTTCAGTCATATATATATTAGTTCAACAGCACAGAGGAAAACACTGCTATAGCTTTCACTGTGGCCAACAGAAAAGTCCCCACAAATATAAAAACATATGCTTTTAAATTGTTAGATTTCTTCAAAATGTCATACAGAGGAAATGAAATATAATTTCTCATCGTGTAACAACAACAAAAAATGAACCCCTTGGGAATTTACACAATTCTCAAACACCCAACTTTGCAGTCTTGAACATCTCAATCCCTACAATTGCAGAACATAGTATCACCAAAATAAAGGAAGAGAATTCCTTGAAGGTAGTGATGGTATTTGGATACTATGCGAAATTTCCTTGTATTAAACCATTTAAACTTAGATTCACATTCAATATTTTGGAGGAAGGGAACGTGACAGGCCCTTCATGCTTTATCCTTGCTGGCTGCCTACCCAGGAAGCATTATTGTTATTACTTGAGGAGGAAAGGAAAGGTGCTGGTAAGAGCCAGAAGGGCAAGGCAGTGATATTGATTATGAAACGCCCTGTTCTTTGGATGAACTGTGTAAAACATTTTGTTAAAAGGCTCCATGTTAAAAATACTAAGAACAAAAAGGTCGTCTTAAAAATACAGAGCATTTCTGCCTCTTCTTTTAAGTTCAAAGCTTGGGGAAAAGTGTTTTGCTAGAATTAACTACAGGTTTGCTGTAATAAACACGGATGACAATGCCCTACTGTAACACAGGGCCAACCACAGACTCCAGACAAGGGTGATTGCTTTAGGTTTCAAGTGGTCACGCAGCTCTGCGCTGGTGTAAAAGGTACAGAGGTGCTTCTGGAACCTTCACTGCAGAGTCTTTACCAGCGTCCAGCTTTTGGGCAAAGGAAATCTTGCCACACTGCAGAGTCAGAACCTTGAGGCTCAGCACGTGGGAACGATCATGATTCAGTGTCTGATCCAGAACTGCTTTCTCGGCTGATCTCGATTTGTAGAGATGGCAAATTATCCAACCGACTCTTCTTCTGCCGAGACTGTTCCTTCTCCTTAATGAGAGCTCCCCACACCCGCTGGAGCTCCGAATCATCTTCCTCTGCAGATGCAACAGAGTTTTCAGCTTTATCTGAAGTCTTTTCTTGTGTCTTCGGAGCAGACCCTAATCGGGTCCATAAGTTACCTGATCAGATAAAAAGCAAATGTTTTTTTCAAAAAACGACAGGGCTAGGAGGAACTCTGGAGGAAGTGTGAGGAGCCTTGTCTTAAATCCACTGCATCTCTTCAAACTCCTCATACCCCTTCTACTTTAATGCTTGATGCTTTGAAGCAGTATTTGAAATTAAACTATGGGAGGCTCAGCAGAGTCTTGTTGGCCACTTCCCATCTGCAGAGAAGGCTACACACAGGTCTGAAGTGCCACTGCATTGGTTATACTTGTTTGAGTGCCCTGTTTTGGCCACAGTTGTGAAGTAGTCTACTTTTAAGCAAACCTATATAGAAATACTGCTCATAAAAGTACTAAGCTCAGCCTACCTACATATATTTAGATTTCAAAGCTCTGAAAGAACATTTAACCTTTAATTTCACTCAACTGAAAATCCTTCATGACTTTCTCCTGAAATTTCCCTTAAACTCTAAAAAAAAAACCCAACAAAAACATCAAAGGAATTGCAGTATTAAGTTTTCTCCATAAGACTAACCTGATTTCTTCTCTCTGGTATCAGAGTAGAGGCCTTTGACATCTTGTTTGGGCATTCCTAACCGGCTGTGTACATCTGAAATGGGCTCTCGGCGAGGAGCAGAGGTACTGCTTGGAGGTTTGCTTTCTGGAGAATGGGGTCTTTTTCCCAGTCTCTGCCGCACATCTAGGGACACATTCAGCCATTAACATGACAAAAAGCATGCTGCATTTACTCAAGTACTGCCAGCTAACCTTCTGCTTGCTCACAATCTCTACAAGTTGAAACTAGAGAGATTCTCTGGTTTTATCTTTTCTTTAGTCTTTTCATTTAAGCCTGGCACTCAGATTTCAGTCCTGGCAATATATTTATCCAGATTTCATTTTTCTTTTCTTTTGGCAATAAATGTGACATTTAATGTTTTCAGGTTGATCTCTGTCCAGAAGATCAGAAGTAAATTATTCCATGGCTTGCTGCATTTGTCTTAGCAGCACAGCAGATATGTATCAGCATGAGCTGTGATTATACAACAATTAGTATGTCCTCAACAAATCTTTTCAGGTAATAGATACCTTGCTTTAGAACCCTAATACTGCTTGGCATTTTGCAGAACAGGACAATAATCCTAAATATATTGATACTTAACCCATGCTGTTAGTCTGATATTCTGAAGTTTATCTGGTTTAGGTAGATATTCCTAGTCATACAGAAGCTTCAAACAAAGACATAAAAGCAAAGGAAGATTTAAGATTTAAGTACCAACTTGTCAAGAGCCCCAAAATGTGCAGGAGTGGTAAACATACTAACATAACTTCTACATTACACTGATAAGAGTATCTTTCACTTATCAGTCAGATAATCCTCTGGTATGTGTATCAGAAGTCACTGAAATTATACATACCCAAATGAAAAAAGCAACAGTCAATTAAGCTCCAAAATAAGCCCTGACAATTGAAAAATACATCCATGTTAATGTAATACACGTTCTTTCATGTAAGTAGCTAGTGTTTCAAGTTTCATTTTGTGCCTGAGCTTGCTGACACGCTATTTCTTAGAGCTGTACATAATCTGCCTCAAGAAGTGAATAAATCAAAAGGGACAAAGTGAGGGGAAATAGATACAGGCAGGTAAATTGGATAAAAATAAACGTCACTCTTTCATTCAAATGTACTTCATTTTTCCCCAAAGCAATCCCTAACTCAGTCTCTCAGCGAGGAAAAATTAACTGCATGGATGCAGCAACTGCTGCTGACTTCCCTCAGGTTTGTCAGCTGCAGTGGAGCAGAGATGTGAAATGAATATCTCCATTCTAACGAGCCTGTCACCATTCTGCACAATACAGGAGTTTAAAATTACCTGATTTCACACTGCTGTTTGGCTGACGTGGCCCAGTACTGTTCTGACGTTTTTCTTCTAAGAGTAGTCTTACATCTGCAACTTTCTCTGATGATCCTTTACTGCCGATCCGATTTTTGATGTTGCTGCTTGCTATGCTATCTGCTCGCATGGAATTCCTAAAAAAAAAAGATCTAACATCCCTTAAAGTGAAATCTCCTATAGTCCTTAATTCTTCTTGTATGTAAAATTACAGCATAGAAAACAGTAATATGAGGAGGTTAAAACGTTACTCAGAAGAGCACGTGTTCCAGTCAGAATCTTAAGTTTAGCAATAATCCCACGAATACCTCAGTATCCATGTCAAGGCAGGCATGGAGTTTGTCTCCTTGAGGCTGTGCTTTTGAGTTAAAATTCAGAGCAGATAAGCAACCCCAAAATTTTTAAAAGACCTGGCATTATAATGAAATAGAATCATATTACTGGAGAAATGCATGTTGAAGTTAACTTAATAATCCACAGTACATGTAACTTTGGTTCATATGCTCGTAATGAACATGAATTGCTTTTTGTCACCAACACTTAAGGGTTACGCTTCTTTCTGAGAAAAGAGGAAGGGGTAAGGGGAAAAGAGAAATGAGAGTTATTTTTCCTTGGCCTGGCTGTGAAATGCAAGGTTAGTTGTGCTTGTTTGTGTACATTTTTGTTGATTCCACTTTGAGCTTCACTATTCTCAATAAGCAGGGTTACAGAAATCTGCAAAGGAAGCTAGTTTAAAAAAATGCGAGTTGTAATTAAAAGCCTGTGTCACTGTTTTCTGTATTTTGTATTCATTTTTAAAATACCTACTACAAAATTATGTTAAGAACTGAAACAAGTAGCTTCAACAGTTTGTCTGGAAGCTTTTGACAGCTCTGTCACTAATTAAAATTCAGAATGCCTTTTCGCTGGTACTTTTAAAGAATGAGAAACTTTTACCTAATATTTTTCAGCTGTGATTCCACCTCATCTGCATACATTGTCATTTTCATGCTCTTTTTGGGAGAGGGTGTTGATATCATTTTCAGTTCAAGGTCATAGTCCATCTCATCAGAATCAGATGCACTGGCACTGGAGCGCCTGGCTGCGCTGCGCTCCCGCGACTGTTTGAAGGCCTGCAGCTCGTCACGGTACTCCACCACAACCCTGTCATCTTCATCCATATCCTGATCTTCTTCCTCCTCTTCTTCCTCCTCAATAGGCTCCTCAGGAACATTTACTAAGCCTATAGCAAAACAAACGGATTCTGATAAACTGAAGTTTATTATTCAATTAAGGTACCTTAAAACCAAGGCAAAAAATACCCCAGATCACTGTAATTAATGATCTACAAATGAGACTTTGTAATTGTCTAAGGCTAAAAGGAGGGAGTATTTTGCAAAATATTCTAAGTGGAATCTGACAGAATAGTTTAAGTGGAAGAAAATTGCCACAGGAGAAAAAAAAAGTCCTCTTTATATACTTTATAGTCCAGCACAAAGCCAGACTGAATATACAAGGTACAACTGCCTCTTGTAGTAGGTGTAGTTCAAACTTCCCAAACTAAACATCACAAATCCTATCACCTCGTGGGGCTAAACATGACAGCTGCTGGCTCCATGATAACCCTTTCAAGTCCTGTAAGCAGTAACACCAAAAGGAAAACACCTATCATTGGTATGAATTTACCACATACACTGGTTTAAATATAAATCAACAACTTAAAATTTAGTCACCAGCAGCATATGCAAGCACCTTGTCAGAAAGCAGCACCTTATCAGCACTCAGTCTTCCATGGGAGTTGATATGTTGCTGGCTGTATTTTTAACAGGCCACTCATATGAAACTTTTGACACTGTACTTGTCTCATATCGAAGATTTTTACACCAATATTCTTCTAATGCACAGCCCCACCTTAGGGAGTAGATTAGAATATTCAAGCCTAATTAATGGAATTTTCTAATCTTTACTGTTCTACATCTACAGCTTGCTTTGTCACAGAATGGAAGAACTGACATAGCAAGTATGACAAATTAGCAAGAAGCTGAAAGAAATTCTCTTTTCTTTTTGCCCTGGACGCTGTAGTCCCCATGTCCTAAATTTGTAACAGAGCAATACCACATAAAAAGCAGCAGCTATTTTGGTAAGCCAATGAGCAGCATGAAGTTTCTGCCTCAGTTTTTCCCCACAAACTCTTCAGGGGAAGAGTTACAAGGCCCTCCACCCCCAGTCCTGTTCTTACAAGGTTGACAGTGGCATCAGCTACCTGAATGACGATGTTTGTAGGGAGGAGTCAAGCCCACATCATCCCCAATGAGTGTCCTTTTCTTTATCACGTCCCGATGGATTCGGCGGGAATGGTATCTTCTTTTCCTGAAACATCACAAACAGAATGACATTCCTGTCACAGAGAAGGTATCATGAAATGAGCCACACACAGTCCTGGGTATTATGTATTAGGCATGTGTAGTTATCACTCACTTTAATAGCAGTCATGCATTTATGTCAGAGATCTGTTTGGAATGTTTTGAATATAAACATTATTTTCAGGAGAGAACAGTCCCCTTGCAAATTCACAGTCACACTGCAAAACCATTATTTATGGATAAGAAGCACCTACATAAAACTGAATAGAAAGAAAATCTGCAAATTAAACCAGTTTTAGACTGTCTTGGCCAACTACAGGCAATGTTCCAAATCCTCTGTCCAGCACTCACCAGGAATTGCTAAGAATCCCTTTCATGCCTCCATAATTTGGATTGCCATATTTCATGTAATACTGGCTTCGCCTTGCAGCTCCCAGCTCTTTTTTGTCATCTGAAAAAAACACAAATTAAAGGAATATTTCAAATATTTCAAAAATCTATGTCTCACAGATCAGCATTACTTCAATCTCCTTCGTGAAGGATACAATTTTGCTGAGACCCCTGAAATTTCTCCTACCATCACAGTTTTATTTGTGTCTAGAAACTTAATTGTAGGGAGACTGAATTTCTACGTATCAGCTTCACAAAGCATCACATCTCACTGTAACTGCTGGAGGCTGCACTTACCTTATTCATGACCTTTCTCTTCTTTATGTGTGTCACTTCCCACACAGCCCAGGCTTTTTATTTTACTCATAATTTAATATCTCAATTGTATTTAGAAATAATTTCCAGTAATATCTCCTCAGCATCTCAGGTGATCTTCATATTTATAACACAAAATTTACCTCTGTGGAAATGGGCATCATAAAACCTGCTCTATGGTATTGGGAAGAATGCCCTGAGCCCAAGATAAAAATTTTATGTACAATATTTTCACACAATTTGAACTGGATTTAATTCACAGGTTAATTGTAAATTTACAGGAAAATCTTAATACTTAATGATTAGCAAAAAAACCTAATAATTTTGCAAATAAATATTAGGCACTTCAAGTCAACATATAACACTACAAGTGATTGATTCTTTATGTTTGTTAAGCTGTTCATTTACCTTTAGTAGCAAATCTCATGAATAGCTTGTTTCCTTTAGCCAGTTTATTGGCAGGGCGAAGATCATTACGCAGGAGAGAATCCTCTTCTACCTGGGAGAGGGCATCCAACTTTGGGGGCAAAAAAGGTATTTTGGACTCAAAAATAAAATTACTGTTGAATGAAAATGGATTGCTTACAGAAAAGCAATCAGCTGATTATTAAGAAAGTTATGTTTCAAATTATGTTCAAATGAACTGCTTTTTTTTCTTGACAAACACATGTGAATTTTTAAAGCAATTTACCCTAAAATATTTCCTTCTCTTCCTTCATAACATTATCTGACATTATTAAATCCAGTGATTTTCAAATGATATTATATTACTGACTGAAATGCAGAAAATAAACAGCACAACTTGGACACTGAAAAACAGTGACTTGATTGTTTTGCTTGTTTCGTATCTAAATGGTTTTACTAACAACAGGTTCTCACGGCCTCAAAACAACAACCAAAAGGCTTTTTCAGAATTTATATCTACTTTATAGAAGCTAAAATTCAGACTTCCATGATGGATGAGTATTCAGTGAGCCACTCCTAAAGAAAATACTAATCACACCTATTATATATTCAGCCAGGGAAGTTTAACTTACAAAGCTGAGTCGCACACATCTCCACGGGCAGCCCCAACCCCGTCTGTCTCTGCTGCTGAAAGGCCCTTCCCTTCCCTTATTGTTCTCTCACTGCCTCCCCT